CCTTCTACTACTCCGTTACTAGTGTCATACGGCCGCAAATAAAAGTATTGGAGGCCAGAACAGTGACTCATACAGCCTCCAACTTGTAGTCTGCTGCATTAGTCGAGTACGGTTCCAAACGCCTCTGTAGTTTCAAATATCGGTCATATGTGTGGCGCATCCTAATGGTTCTAGTGAAGGCGTCATTCTGGTTCATCCACCCATAGACGGCCGCGGATAAAAGGTAAAACGTAACGAAAGCAACTGAGTGGGTGTACCTGATATACAGAGCGTATGCCCTTTCGGGATAATTCTACGATCTCACCGGGCTGCACTTCGAAGTTCAGCTTACCAAAGCTCGGAAGAGCGCAAGTCTCAGAAGCTGCAATATAAGCCAGCGGAACGGAGGGACACTCTGAAACGAATAGAAAATAGCAACTACTCAACGAGAACCCCTACTGTCCTTTATGTGTTCCGCTAGTTGATAGGATATGCTAGTGGAGAACATAAACTAACGTTTGGTATCGTAAATTGTTCCGACACATAAAGGGCGATTGCCATAAGGATCCCGTATGGCATATAGACGATCGTAAGTCATCACTACTAACGAGTAGGACATGTTGAGCGACGACATCGTTACCGCGAGCTCCTGAACAATTCTTTCCTATGAACAGACGAGAGAACAGCGACAGTATTCAGTTGATTAAGTTGACATAGGCCATGTGGGCACAGCTAAACCCTCTCAATGCTCCGCAGCTTGGTCAAGCCTTGATTTGTCTAGGAATTTTACCCTGACAAGGAGGTCGTTCAGGGCGTGCCCCGCTTTTTCGAAACGGTTTAGTGCACTTTGTAGGGCCTTGCCCATGAACCGTAAAGTGGGCTTCGTTTTTTGGGCGTGGCGGCCCCTGGAAACGCCAAAAAGGAGCGAAAAAGAAACCTATAGAAACTGATTGTTTTTGAGCCTCTACGAGCTGTAAACCGCTTGAAACTTTGACCAGTTGCTGAATGGAGGGACCCTATAAAGGTGCTATCGGAATCGAAGAGAAAAGTAGTTGGGGTATGGGGTCTTACTTGTGGCACGTAATCAAGCGTGAACGGCTTCATGGATGGTTTCTTCAACGATCGGAGGAACGTTCAGCATCAACGATCGGATGGCCTAGTGGATAGCGTGAAGGATTCTCAAGCGGACAGTTGGGGTGGGGTTGATGGTTCAACTCCCCTCGTGCGAGTTTTTGCATTTTTTATGTTTTGCTGTTTTCGCGTTCAAATATGTCTGTGCGTAAGTATGCATTCGATAACTGCCATTTATGGGCACATTTTAAATGGGAACACTCCATGAATCAGTGCTATTCAATTATTACAGGTTTTACATACGCATAAGCAAACGGTAATTGAAAGTTGACCTTTATAGGTCAGACCATGCCCGAATCACGAATATGGAACTTATTTGTAGCTACGGTGCCATTTATCGCTAATATGGAGTGACATGTTTCTCCCAATGAATGCGTTTGCTACACACAAGTAAGGGATGTGTAGCGCTACCCAGGCGCCAAATTACGTCGGCGCCGAAAATAAGTGTGAAAATCATGATCGGGCCATCGATTACCCCTGTAAACAATCTTTCGGCCAAAAAATTTTTTTTCGACTTTTTTGGGTGTGTGCGTTGGGTTGTGCCCGACAGTCTTCTATAGAAGTTACAGTGCCCTGCCATATGGGACCTAACTATTTTTAATTAATATCCAGAGATAGCTAAGTAACAATGCCTGATGAAATTCATGCAAAGAGGGAGGTTAAAGGATAGGCGATTCCAGTCAATGGTTTGGCTTGTCCTGCTCGGCGGCCTGCTACGTCGTCGTTCCATCATCGTCTTTACGAAGATGGGATACTCCGGTCACCACTGCCGACCAAATGGTCCACCAAAACCCAAAAAATCGAAAATTTTTTGGCTGGAAGTTCGTCCATAAGGGTAATCGATGCTCCTGATTACGATTTTGACACTTATTTTCGACCTCGACGCAATTTGGCGCCTGTATAGCGCTTTAACGTCCCCTCCCATTATGGGGTATCATGAGACGTAACTTTTCACTCCTTTTTTGGCATTCCAGGAGCCGCACAGCAAAAAACGAAGCCCACTTTTACGGTTTCTGGGCAAGGCCCTACAAAGTGCAATAAACCGTTTTTGAAAAAAGCGGCATCTGCCTGAACGACCTTCCTGGTAAGGTGGGTTTGAACCCGCTGAACACGCAAATATCACATGTGGCTTGGCACAAAATTTATGGCGTTTGAGTTACCGGCCAAGTGTTTTCACGGGAATTGGGCGCGATGGTCGTGCTCAGGGAGCTAAACTATCTCCGAAAACAAGCTTTTAGCGTATTTTTGTGCTGGCGGCCTCATGGAGCGGGCACGGGTGTTTCGCGCAAGCGATATAACCTTCGTGTTCAAGAGGTCTGATTATCTCCACCTTCGAAGGAAAAAAAGTCGGTAAAAACTCAGAGTGAATTCAAAGAGGTGGGGACACCAAAGGGCGAATAGTGCCTAACGGTTCCGTATCACACTTCGTTAAACGAACAAATAAGTCTCACCTTTGAAATGTCACCCCAATCAAGACCTGAGCGACATTTGTAGTTGAGAGCGATAGCCTTCGCTACCATTTGTGCAATCAACTCTGAATCCGTGTCAGTGGACAGACCAACGCCTTCGTGAAGCACCTTCAAAGAATGGCTATGATGCTATGACTGATAACTAATAGGACAATTAGGAACAGTGAACAATAGGACAAGTGTAGATTCGTAGGTCGAGCTGATTTCCTAGCAAGTTGCTGTCACGCGGCAACGATTGGGATAGCCTTTATATGTTCTTCCAAAGATTGGGAAGGAGTCCAGTGATCAGGCGATTAGAGTAGGTGATGGCAGCAATTTAGAGGTCGCGTTCATCTTCGCAAGTCGCCCGATCTGGGATACGATTTAGGGATCGCTCGAGCTCGCAGTTAGAGCACGTGCTGTGCTTTAGTCGCAGACATCGTGAAAAAATAATAGTTCTTTGGGACTCGGTAAGTTAATTAGGTACTAAGTTCTTTGTGCGTACGAGCACTCTGGCGCACGTTGGGGTAGCAGACCATATGCAGACGACAAGTAGTACCCGATCGTAAAGCGATACGATGTACTTTCCACCTGCAAGCGAGAACATTCTCGTTTGAAAAAGGAAGTGAAGAAAACTCGCGGGACCATTCGAAATTCCGCTACTGTCGACCATTCCTTCGACGGACTTTATGGCGCCGTCGATATTTCGCGAAAATGTCCATCCGACAGAAGGCGCGTGTTCTAGTTGTAAAGAAGGAGATCACTCCGCGAAACGCATTTTCACGCACGCAGGTTCGTACCGCAAGTTATTCCAAGAGTCATTCAAGAACCTCAGTGGGAACGACTTTAACTGTGCAGCTCTATCCTCAGCGGCTATCTCATCTAGCTTTTAGTAACTAATAAACTGTGAGAGCTCGCCCAAACAAAAGGCTGCTCAGCTGCTGCTAAGCGAGAAGGATGGACTTGCTGCCGCCACATGCATCACGACGTACAGTGGATTTTTGCCCTGGCAGATGCTGGGACGCGTCTAGGGTGCTGGGAGCGCCGCTAAATTCACAGACTGTTCGAAGACAAACAAGCGACAACATCGGTTGAAAAAACGAGCATGGCTCCTGAAACACGCACGCGAGGAGAGGGACTGTTATTCTACTCCTACCTCTTTTCTCTTCTTCTTCACATCCACTAGCTCTCCGTTATGTGCTATAGCTACGGTTCCGATCGCAGTGTAGACTACAAATGGCTGCACACAGTTGATCGCCCACCGCTTTTTGCCGGCCGTCGAGTAGCGATTGTGACCGATAATAATTCTTGACCCTGCAATCCCTCTTATTTCGAAGACTGTGCGAAAAGAGAACACATTGGAGTCTGATGGTGAGGAAAAAACCGGTCGCTTCATGTCTACCTGCTCTCTCTCAGTTTTGAAGAGGAAACCTCACCGTTCAGCTTGCTCAGTTTCTCTTCCACAAAAGACATCCCGTGCAAGTCCTTGTCCTTTGACAATATCCAGATGGCCTCGATCAAAACCATCTGAACCAACAAGTCCGGCGGATTCAGTTCCTCTGAATAGCGTGGAATTTCATCCCAGCAAAAATATGTACATTAAGAAATTCTCAACTCGAATAGCTGTGGTATAACTTTTCATTTCAGTTTCTTTGACCCGTTTCTCTTAGTCAGGTGAAGGTACTGAGTCTTTAGCCACCATTTCATTAGTAATTTGCAGGAACTGAAAGCATGAGTTTTCTGAGTGACTGACCTGTGCTGAAGTGCAGTGAGTGCGTCGGCAGCAAGATTCGACAGAACCCCATCCAGTTCTTCCCCTTCGGCCTGCACCAATCCAATGATACCGCACATTTTTTACTGGTACTGGAGAGTCCCCGAATTCCTTCAGGGCGGGTCTTCCTCAAAATGAGAATTAAATTCGAATACTACATAAAGCCACCTGGGATTCCTTTGTCAATAACTGCGTTTATATCCTGACTCCAAACGATGACAAGGGGAGGGGTTGAAAGATAGGTACAAAACATAAAGAACAAGGATATAGGTAGGCTACACGATCAGCATTTCAGAGTTGATATGGCCTGAGGTACTGCTGCAAGGTACTGGTGTGAAGTCGCGCTTGGTAGCGCCAACTTAGTTAAAAAGTGGATGTAACGTAATGATCTGAACAATACGTTTGACTGAAAGTGAAGAAATTCTGGAAATTCGAAAGAATATCTAGTCCCAACGGGGCAGCACCTACCCTTCCTGTGCTTCCCCAAGTCTGCGAGTACTAGGTTAATCTTTGTTCAGTACATGCCTGAGGGCAACAAGAACAGTATCTACGAGGGTCGTTCGATTACAAACGTCAAGTGAAGTACGTAGCCACGCCTAAGACGTCTCATGGATTTGGAGCATATTTTGGAGAGAGGAATCAGCTGTTAATATAGATACAGTCGACGCCAGGACCATACAGTACTCATGGCATATGAAGTGCCAGTCACAATTCAGCTCCGGCCGATATCGGCTTAATGAAAGTGCGAAGGAATAAGAATTATCTTCACTGATTCACGAGTTTCAAATCAAAGATGACTACAATACATTTCAAACTGTCTATTGTGAGAATAGCTAGAGGAAAGGGTTGTGAAAGGTTTGAGTAAAACACTTTCTGATTTCGACCTAGTTTCTTCCTACAAGTATTGGAAGTGGATAATTAAACAGGTACCATTATCAGCAGAACGGCGGATCATGGGCAGATGTGGCCACCACGGCCAATCATCGTGTCGAGGAAATCATTGCTTCGAGATCCCCTTATCTTTCTCTACCGACATGACCTCCTACATAGGAGGGACGACGTTCTCCTATGTAGGAGGTCGCGTCGGTTAGAGAAAGATAGGATCTCCGTTTTCAAAATTTTTCCAGTAATCTGCCAGCATCGCCTCCTCTTAACTCTATGGAACAGTGCGTTGAGACAGAGCCCGGTCCATTATCAAGAACTGAGGCATTCATCGCCGCTTGATGCAAAGTTTTGCCTGATTTTTGATAAACTATACACTTCCTCCTTCAGTAAGACCTCTTTCTACCAACCTACACACGTTACAGCCTTCTCAACAATTTATCATCGAGCCGAAGGAAAGCGGCGGCTGTCGTTCACACCTCCTTTATCAGGAAGTCTTAGATACTCAAGTCAGCTTCCTTTCTGGTGAACCCACCAGGATTTTAACCACATTACAACCATTTACCATTAGGGTAAACTTCTTTCCGCCGCTTGACAATCTATTGCGGATACTCTGCGGCACGCATTCGGATTTCTAGCATCATAGTGGCTTATTGAACTGCGTTGTGCGTCTATCAAAAATTGCTGCGGGCCACCATGTACAAGTCAGTGTATCTTCACCTCCAGCTGAATTTGGTAGAAATTTACCGTCAACGGGGTAGAACACCTAGTTGGAGTTACCGAGGATTTGAACCTAGGACCGCGCGAGTGGTAAGCGCGCCGTTTATCACTATACCAGCTACACATCCGCCTAACCTTTTCATATTCGCTACTAATCCGCTGCAATCTTGGCACAACGTTCTTTACGGAAAACGAAGTGCTAACGATTGGGCATATGGACACGTCCACAATCAAAAAAGTATGGAAGCACTACCCTGAACGATGCTCAGTTCAATGAGTGTGAGCCAAGAGTGCATCAGCTCCCCTCATGATCCCGGATTGCATTCGAATGCATGGCGGATCTCAGGGAATTTATTCCATACTGATCTTTCTATCTTGCCAATAAACCACGTGAGATCGGAACCTCTCTAGACAGTGTCACCAAAGAGATCTCCGCCTAGGCAGTTGCCCGCTAGCACATGAAGAATTACAGCACTGCCACCAGAAAACACCCGTTTTCAAGGAAAAATGTAGAAAATTCGGTAATATTCCATTTTTAGAACAGTTAGGAAGTTGTGGCAACTAACCTATATTCACCACATGAAGATCTCCTTGTTCAGACTATCTTTACATAAGAATGGGAAAGAAGAATGGTTATAAGGGAAACGACCCAAAATTCAAGAACATGGTGAACCAGTAGGACGAGTAGATATGGAGTCGCAAACAGGATACTTCTTCGACAATAACAAGAAAAAGAGATTTCAAAAGAGATTTAACGGCTGAAGATCAGGAATATGTGAAATATAGTAATGGCAAATTTATGAAAACAATATGAAATAGTGAAGGGCTTCAACAGTGAGCCGCTAGAAGAAAGGTAAAAGAATCTGTAAAGGGAAAGATGAAGGTATAAAGGCTCCAGTCATGCTGCTCAGCGTAGTCATAATCGCGTGGTAGAGGTCAATCAATCAATTGACATTCGCCTGGGGTTGTTTCCCACCCAGATTCCTTATGAATGTGGGTCATGTAAAACCTTCACTAGGATGTGGCAAAAAGGGTA